AAACGACTAAACAGACCCATGAATGCCCTGTAAAATATAACAAATGCAGTAAAAATACACTCGTAAAACCTTCCATCGTTAAGAATGACTGGGCATGTCGGCATACTCGCCACACCTTGTTCCCCAGTGCCCACTCTCGCTCGTCTCATCGCCTCATGGAAAAACTGCCGCTTGGTGTACATCGAACATGTACGAGCCGCTTTTTCCCACCCGGTGTACAATACTCACGTGTAAGCTGCTTTTTCCCAACGCGGTGTACAGCGCTCATGTGTAAGCCGTCTATCATCGCCCACCTCATTATAATTTAGAGCGTTGTCTTTAGAGGAGACGAGGGTAAGAGGAGAAGATAAGAGCTAGAGATGAATGTACTGAGAGGTGAGTGGTAAAGGGAAGATAAAGAGACGAAGAGAAGGGAAGCTAGATGAAGAGATTTAATACACTAAGCGGAATGGATGGAAACAGGACGAAACCCAGAGAAGAATTAAATTTTCAGAGATCAAAAACGGAGGAGGAGGAGGAGGAGATGATGGTGGTTTAAAGAAGGATCAGTAGGCCGCATGGACACTTCCTGCACATTGATCACCCGGGTGCAGTGCGCAGGGCCCCCCCAAACAAGGCGCGAGGGGCCCCGCGGCGGCTTGCGTGCAGGGCCGCGAGCATCCTGCATATGGTAGTGCGGAGGTGTCGGTGCTCGCTCCGTCCCCCTCCATCATATTATGTAAGCAACACCTCCCGCATTATTTGTGTACCTTTTACCGACCCATGGATCGTTTCTTGACCACTTTTGGTTCGCTGGACACACTTCCTTGTAATCCCAGAGCCTTTTATTAAGCCATAGATCACCGTCCTGCTAATATGTCGGGTCGCCGGTCGCAAACTGTAAATCTGTCGTTGAATTGCTTGTAAATTTTCTATATTAGCATTCCCCCCCGACTTTTCAAGAACCATTAACGCATGGTAGTCACCTTAAAAAATAGAACGGTTCCTCTGAACTCCCGTGATGTTTTTAGGCCGGAACGCAAAAAACTGCAGAACTTTCACTCGTCCCCCTTCCCCTGCCCATTCCTCACAAGGAAATATTTGGCTTTTCTACAAAACACTCTCCACCCACTAATTCCAGCACCAAGCCTTTCCCTTATAAAAAGCTTAATTCCGCACCCTCCCGTGACCGAAGGAAGGCATCCTCGTCCGAAGTCAATCCAAGCGAGTCCGAAACCTGATCGTTCGCATCAATAATCTCACTGATTGCGAACCAGTCCTACGTGCCTTCCCATCTAAGACTCGTTGGAGAGAACTAGCATACCATCAACTTAATTCAACACCTTAATGAACTGCGTGTATTACTGGGGTTGTTTGCACTTAAACTGTTACGTAAATACAGTTCAGTGCATGGCCTGATGATGGTACAATGGCGACTGGTGGGCAGGGTTTGCATTAAATGCAAATATATTTCGGAACTATTAACAAATCGAAGGTCACGCGTCCATTATACACATGATTTTAGAATTATAATTTCATTGTCATTCTAAACATTATCAAAAAGAAAAAATGACGAATGAAAAGAGAGAAATAGATGTTCAAAATAAATCTTGCAATGCACGCCTTCCGACAAATTAATATACAAATGTAAAAAAGAAAATTTCCAAAATCGCGACCTTTACCTTTCAGCAATGCAAATTAATATTATACTGCGCCTAATGCCCACATGTCCACCTAAAACAACAAAGCATAAGGCCGCCCGCGCCCGAACCTGGGGAATAGAAGGATCCGAAATTCGATTAAGACATGAGGGAAAGAGGTGAGGTCGGAAGAGGTGGGGTAGGGGGTAGGGGGAAAAGCTGTGGTAGGGGGTAGGGGGAAGGAGTAGAGGGTTGGGGAAGGGAGATCGGGGCACACGCTTGACCTCGGCCGCACAAAGACAGCTTTACTGCTGACACTTCATAAATGTCGCGCCTTTGAAGTGTAAATCCGCCACACCTCAGCACCGGTCTTGATAGCGGGAGGTGCCGCCGTGACACCTACAGTGTGTACGCTTGAACTGTCGCTGCGGACTCTCCCCCCCTCTCCCTTCCTCTACTTCGTTCTTTCCCTTCTTTTCTTTTCTCCCTCTCCTTCTCCCTCTCCCTCCTCTTTCTATCCCTCTCCCTCTCCCTCTCTCTGTCTCTCTCTCGCTTTCTCTCTCTGTCTCTGTCTTTCTCTTTCTATTTCTCTCACTCTCTCATATATTCATTATCCTGCGATTTTTTATGCCACTTTCCATGGAGCTCTGATAAAACTATCAACTGAAGGTCTCTCGATATCAAATGAAGATAAGAAAACAATCCGCGGAATGGATTGAAGGCGTTATCTGGAGTATCGTAAAATATCCGTTAATCTCCCGTCCTAGATTCACTGCCTCGTGACAAACCTTTTGAAAGTCCCACGATCCAATCAAAGGATCTACCTCGCAGCTGTCTCATCATATATATATATTCTTCAACACTGCATCCTCCTGCGCCCC